CCTTCAGTCTCCCAAGTCTCGGTCCCTGGGTTCTCTCTGCCCGCCCCCCTGGTAATCCTTGGGGGCTCCTCTCTGCCCCCTGCTGGCCGGCCCTCTACTTGAGAGCCCTGCAGTCACTTCGATGTCAGAGAACAGTCTGTTCATGGGACCGACTGAAATACAAACTGCGGGGCTCAGAGACTTTGTTTCCTTATCGTGGCAGCCCCCTCAGGGCTGTCAGTACACATGCCAGGGACTCGCTGTCCTATTTCATTGATTCGGTGCGTTCTAACGCAGACCATCACGGCTAGCCTGAGCGGGAAGGCGTTTTCAAGCTGGAGCGCCATGGCACCTCTCAGGGCTGCTACTTCCCTGCCTGTGTGTGAGTAGAATGTGGTGGTTACCGGACTGGCCTCCAGGCTTTGTCCCTTCCTCGCTGTGTGGCTTTGGGCAAGTTATTTTATCTTGCTGTGCCTCAGTTTCCTCATTTATCAAATGAGGGTAAGAATGGTACCTTCTTCAGAGAGTTACCATATTAAATAGGTTAACATATCTGGAATGCTTAGGAGAGCGCCTGGTACTTAGTGTTGTTTTTATTGTTATCACCACCATTGTTATTTATGGGGCTTGCCCTAGCAGCAGCCTCCTTGCAGAAGTTCTTGAATGTATGCGAACTGTGACTGCTCCACAGTGTCCCTGTCTTCAAGCGGACTTTGAGAAATTATGAATGACGGGAATTTAAACCCACAAGATACTGGGGAGGGAGAAACTTGAGTGAACTACTGATTCAGGGACTGCAAATTCAAATGCCTTCAGGGGACAGGTGGATAATAGGTGTGGAGAGTGTGTATTTAAATTCAGATGTTTCAAAAAAAGTTTGCCTAGCAGAATACTTCTGTGAGTGCCCAGAATCTTTTCCTGTTACAGGAGGTAGGGAACAGCTGGAGTTGATTCATACCAGGGTTTCTCAAGAGCAACATTTGTGCTGGATAACTCTTTGTCTTAGGGGGCTGTCCTGTGCATTGGAGGATGTTAGCAACATCCCTGGCCTCTACCCACTAGATGCCAGTAACATTCTCCCCCTAATTGTGACAACTCAGAATGCCACTAGATGTTGCCAAATATTGGGGGGGGGTGGCGGGTGTGGGGGGGAGGCAAAGTCACCACTGGTTTGAGAACCACTGATTTAGACCAAAGAACAATTCAGCAGGCTATAGATTAGACTGTTCCAGTTTGCCTTCCTACAGCCTTTCTCACTGGTGGAGGGTTGTGTTTAGGGGTTAGAATGGGAGGAAGGAGCCTACAGCAAAGCCATGGAATTTGTTTCTCTTGAGACGGGTTCTTAACCTGGGAGGATGAACATTCAGGGATCTGTGAACTGACATTGTAAGCAAAACTTTGCATCCGTACATGTGACATTTTCCTGAGGAGAAGATGCATACACCCATTGCCCTGGTGTGTGGTTCAGGAGGTCAGGAGGAACGGGAGTAATGGGCACCAGCTCCCCTGGTGTGCCTAGGGGCACCTTGTTTTTTCCTCCCAAGGTGGGCAGGAATCTAATATAAAAATGTAGGAAAGGGTTATACTGATAGCAGGGGGAAGATTCCTCATATTTCTTTCCTTCAAAGAGTACCAATTGTAAATTTTCAAACAAAACAGTGAACACCCTGGATTCCAGGCCCAAGTTTGCCAGGGACCAGTAGTGCTCTAGCCCCCCCGCCCACCTCAAGTGGTAAGATTCTAAATTTTAGGATCCATATTAGTTTACATTTGTTTTTATGTCTCGTCCCTTTGTTTGCTGTTTTCTGAAATTCCTAATATGATACTGTACTATTTTAACAACCAACTCTTGGAAGGGAAACCTAGATTTATAATGTTTACTGTTTTCCATGGTGTAAATACTCCCACCACGGTTGATTTTTAAGGTACCAAAGTGAAGTCAGCGAGGCAGCAGATTTGGGGAGATGTGTAGAATTGGCTGCCCACGAGAACCTGCTCCAGCACAGCACTGGATACGGAGCTCACTGCAGTGTGAGCTAGCCTCGGTCCCGTCCGCCCTGTTAACACTTACGATGTGATGAAGTTGGGCTGCAGTTCGGTTTCTGGGACTGTGTAGTCAGCTGTGGTTGGACCAGAAACGTTGTTGCCTTTGCAGCATGGCATAGTATTTCCTCAGCAGAAGCTTTAATTTATGAACATAGTTAAAGATTCGAGCTTTCTTAGTCAGTCGCTAACGAGCTCTCAGTACTGGTTTTCAGAGCTGGCGGTGATGGTGCCTCACCAAGTGGGCACACTGCTCTCCTTCCTCCCCCACAATGCTCGGCCTAGCCTGAGGGCCTCGTTTCTGCTGTCCCCTCACCCTCTTCTGTCCTTGTTCCACCTACCATGCAAGGCCCTGTTCATGCCCTTCTTGTCATCAGCAAATTCACTGAAGGCTGACTGCCCCGGGATGGGAATAAAAATGATTAAAGCCTAATTTTCAAAGGACATCCACATGCGTCATCTGAAGTCCAGGTAGTGGAGTCTGTGCCACTATCTTAGGCACTTATTTAATCAGGGATTGCTGAATATTGTGATTTCATGTTTGTACTCATGGATAACAGTCTCTCTAATTAGAATTTAAGACTGAGAGAACAGGACCTACATCATAAACCTCTCTCCTTCCGCCAGTAACTTAACATGGTAGTTGCTGGCTGGATTGAAGCCTTCCCCACCTGCACAGACCCTCAGCAGTCTCCCTCAACTCTAATTTTGTGTGGTGCACACACCTACAACACATCATTTCCCTTTAATTTCAACCCATGATCTTTGGGCAGATGTTCCATATAATAATAATGCTAACATGTATTGAGGGCCTGTTCCATGCCAGGCACTGTTCTAAGCATCCCACATTGTCAGAATCCTCCCAACAGCTCTGGAGTTATATGTGCTATCACTGTCCTCACTTCACTCATATGTAAATGCACTCCGGAACAGAGAAGTAACGTACACAGGATCGTATAGCTGATAACTGACAGCAGGAATTCGAACCCAGGTCGTTCACATGCTTGAACCGTGCTATACTGTCCTTCACATGCAGTGGTCTCTCCGCAAACAAAACGTAAGCTCTTTGAGGGCCTGAGTCATGTCTCACACTTCCTCACATCCTCAAGCACCGAGCTTGGGGTCCGGCTAATATCTGGTGAATGAAGTGAGTGGGGAACCTCTATGTGTTTAACGAATATCCGTGGACTCAAATTTTAAAAAGAAGTTTTAACCATATAATTTCTACCCTGATCATGTTTTCTCTTTAGTGAACTTATTCCAGCTAGACATCTCTGTGAAACAGGGACGGGATAAAGTCCGAGAAATGTTTATGAAGAATGCCCACGTCACAGACCCCAGAGTGGTTGATCTTCTGGTCATTAAGGTAACTGACCTTCCCTAACCGATTTAAAAGAACAGCCAACTTGTCCAGAGCTTTTCACTCTTCCCAAATGAGCATTTTGTTTCCAAGTTTTAAAAGCAACTGCTGGGTCAGCAACTGTTACCTAGAGTTTCAAAGGAAGAGTTGCACTTGGAGGTTGTAGTGGTTAAATAGGTTGTAAGACCGTGCAGGGAAAATCTCTCGGGGCTTGCGCTTTATAAATGACACAGGCATGAACCTGTGAACTCTTCAACCTCTTCTCCAGAAGTTACTGCTTCACCTGGTTGCCAGCTTACGTGTAAACGGGGCCAAATCCTGGCCCTGATTCTCTGACCAGTCACATGAGCATCAATGGGAGGGAGCTTCAGCATGTTAAGCAGAAATGTAAGTTAAACCAGTCAGGTTAGGCATCATGGGGCAGGGGCCTACTGACCTGGAAGTCCCTCCTTAGACCAGTTAGCCACAGTTAAAATATTTGAAAGCCTTCAGACATCATTTGGTCCAGTGCCTGTTTCCAGATGCAGAAACTGGTCTAGACAGAGTATATTACTTACCCAAGGTAACTCACGTCAGTGCCAGAGCAATAAATGGAATCCTGGCCTTGTGTTGTATTCCTTTCACTGGGTCACTTTTACTGAAGACCTCTCCCCTCACTTGTGCAGGGAAAGATGGAACTGGAGGAAACGATTAAAGTGTGGAAGCAGCGGACACACGTTATGCGGTTCTTCCATGAAACAGAAGCGCCAAGGCCAAAGGATTTCCTGTCCAAGTTCTATGTTGGCCACGACCCATGAAGTCATTCAGTGGAAGGGTGCATGTTGATATTTAAATACTTGAGAGTACAAATAAACTCAGTATATGATGGTCACTTCATGATAGGATTCCATTGGTGAACCAAAGGGAAGCTCCATTTCTGCAGTCTCACTTTTTTGCCTGAACAAGTGGGGCAGGGGTATACACACCACCTGTTCGCTCCCTTTTCCTAAAGTGTGGGGTTTCCTGTAAATTAGATTGGATTCTCTTCTCAGAGCCTCACATTTTGGTAAACACGAAGTATGAGGCCATCTGTTCAGAAACTGTTATACTGGGTATGAGGCTGCATGACGTTAATTTAGCTGTGTTTCTACAGCCTCCAGGACTGGATAGTGTCATGGCACAGAGTATCCAAAATTAGCCAGCTCTTGCTGTTGGAGAGGAATGAGGATGGCACTGAGAGACACATAAGTAGAGCCGACAAGCTGGGCTATGTTTCCCTGGGTTTTAAAGAAAATGGCTGCTCAGAGGCCTAGACCCTCTATTTGTAACAAACACAGGTCCTTAAAATGAAATTAACTTCCTGCTCAATTAGGCTCCCTGCTAGGGACACAGATGTTCAATGCACATATGGAGAACAGAAATATTCCAATTGTTTGGTTTAACAGGTGTAGCTTTGAAGTGACAGAATAAATGTTGATCCGGGTTAAAGAACTGATTTCTGCTTTCAATGGCAGTCTTTTCGTTTCTTCCCTGGATGGTCTAAATGCTGGAGAAAGGGATTCAGTATATAGTCACCCTTAGAATTCCCAAGTTTTTCAGCATCAACAACCCCTTTGTTTTTTCATCTAAGAAACCCACATTTTGAAAGAATCATTTTAATATTTTTCAAGTTAGTTTTAAACAACCAAAGCTCCTATGATTGATTGGCATAGGAGCCAGTGTAACTCAACACAAAAAAAGCTTGAGGGTCTAGTTAGCTTGTGCAGCTCTACTGAGGGAAAACAAAGTTTCTGTTGGGCTTCTGTAAATAATGAAAATAGGTCCCAGGCCCTCATAATAATTGATCCATAGCAGCCTGGAGATCCTTGGTTGTAAATCAAAGACCTAGTAGAGAACAAATAGCAGAGACAAGAAACTGCAACAGCTAGAGCCTACTCAGACTGAGAAACTCCAGCCATCACTCAGTCATACACAGCTGATGTCTTTCATGTTTATTCATCATCTGATCATGCTCAGTGGACAGCACATCTCAGGGAGCCTCCCAGAGCCTGGGATAGTGGGCGGTGGTCATGGACCATGCAGGAGGCTTCACTGGAGTTGGGAGGCTCAGGGCTTTCCCTAGGCCCTTCTGACAGGCAAGGAGGAGAGGCTGTAAGCATCACCATTTCTTGATTCAGTTAGGGCTTTCTCTTTTGACCTGTAAGAAAGGGAAGCAGCAGTGAATTGGGCAGCAGAGCAGCCCTTTACCCACATACTGAAAAAGAAATCCACAGAGTGGTTCCACCAAACAGGATAGAGGCAGTTTTGAGTAAATCTGATTATTCATTTATACACTTATTAAACATTCACCACAGACCAGGCACTGGGGCCCCAAAGGTATAAAAATCATGTTCCCTGCCAGCAAGAAGCTCATAGTCTAGCAGAGTTTGGAGTGTGTGGTGTATGTGTTTAAGCACATAGTATTGAGTGTCAACAGAGAGGTACTGGCCAGTCAGAGGAAGGAGCAGTCACTTAAAAATGGAAGAATGTGCGAAGACCTTATCAAAGACAATGAAGAATTGGTGGAAATAGAGCAGTGGGACACAGCCTTCCAACTGGGAGGAACAATGAACCAATGCTCGGGAGTAAGAGCAGGGGTAATTCAAGAAATGGCGAAAACCAGGGATAGGTATGTGGTTGGGATATGGAAGATGAGGCTAGAGTAACAAGTGTGACCAGAGCATGGCAAGCCTTGAATGCCAGACTAAAGAATCACGAGTGTCCTTATCTATGACAGTAATGCAGCCACAAAGCACATATCAGAGCACCAGAAGTCAACACAAGGAAGCTGAACAGGACAGGTACTGGGGGAAAGGTTTGTGAGCTGTGGTGACCAGGCTGTGGTGCCCATGTACAGGCTGTACTGGTACAGAGCTTGGTAACCACAGCTGTCCATGGTGAGACTCTAAATTTCAATGTGAAGCACTGAAATGAAGCTGTTTGTGATGGGTGTGTAAGGCATATTAAATTATCAAGGAAATTTTGGGGTGGAGGATGAGAGTACATAAAGGGCAAATGAGCCTTGGCCAGTGGCTAAGTTGGTTGGAGTGTCGTCCTGTTCACCAAAAGATTGCAGGTTTGATTCCAGTCAGGGCACATACCTAGGCTGTGGTTCAATCCCCAGTAGGGGTGCATACAGGAGGCAACCAATCAATGTTTCTCCCTTCTCTCTCTAAAAATCAAAAACATATCCTTGAGTGAGGATAATAAGTAAATGAATGGCAAATGACAAGGCTGGCTGGGGTCCAACCTAATTGGAAGAGACCACAGTGAATTTGTAAGTCAATAAGAGTTTCCCTCATCCAACACAGAGAAAAAAAACATTAGCCACCAAGTGAGTCATCCATTAAAGGTCTGCACTTCTGCTTCGAGTGTCCAGATGCTGCTTGTCACCAGGCCAAACATCAGTTCCAACTCCACCCCTTCCTGCTCCTGGTCCATGCAGGCCAATAGCAAGTCTTACCTGTTAGTCATCATCATCATCATCCTCTGGGACAAAAATGTCATGCTCCTCAAGTAGAGCAGCAAAATTCTTGCTAATGAGCGTCCCGACATAGAGAAAGGGGATCACAATGGAGAACACACGGAGAAGGCCAAAGGACATCTGCAGAGAGAGTGGTGGCTGTGAACTCCAGGGCCCACTGTGGCATGACTCTAGAAGGCCTGGCCCTCTCAGGGTCATTCCCTCTTATGGACCCCAGACCTATCCTAAGCAACTTGACTTTAAAAGTCCTTGGGAAAATACAGAGCAAAAAATAATTGGAAGGAGATATACAGTGATTTTATGGCCATCAAAGTGGATACTGGAAAGAAAAGATAAAGGTACTAGGCACATCTAAAAATTGGAGTACATGCCCTGGCTGGTGTGACTTGGTTGGTTGAAGCATCGTCCGTATACCGAAAGGTTAAGAGTTTGATTCCAGGTCAAGGCATATACTTAGGTTTTAGGTTTGATCCCCAGGGGGGCACGTATGGAAGGCAACCAATCAAAGTTCTCTCACATTGGTTTTCTTTCTCTCTCTCCCCCTCTATCTAAAATCAATAAGCATACCCTTGGGTGAGGATTAAAAAATAAAATAAAAATTGGGGCACAACCTGGCAATTAACTGCAGATACCCATAAACAGGTGAGAAAGTACTAAGAAAATAAAGTTCAGCTCTACTGCCCGGCCGGGCGTGGCTCAGCGGTTGAGCATTGGCCCAGGATCCAGGAGATCTCAGTTGGATTCCCAGCCTGGTCAGAGCACATGCCCGGGTTGCAGGCTCGATCCCCAGTCAGGGCCGTGCAGGAGGCAGCCAATCAATGACTCTCTCATCATTGATGTTTTTCTCTCTCTCTCCCTTCCTCTCTCTCAAATCAATAAAGATATATTAAAAAAAAAAAAAGGTCAGCTCTACTTGAAGACAGTAAATACATGAAAATGGATTACACAAAGATGTATAGTGAAGTGAAAGAATATTCTATAGAGTTCTTGAAGTAATAGGTTTCCTGGTGCCTGAGAAATCTGATTTCACCACATTAAAATTTTGAAACAGGTGTGTTTTGAAAAGTGAGCATGTCTTTACACTGAAAGACTAGCTTTTTATTTTTATTTTATTTTATTTTTTCTGAAAGACTAGCTTTTTAAATGGACAGAGGTATTTCATAAAATCTCAACATTTCCTCCTGTATTTTCCCATGGAGTTTCAAAAGAAGATTTTTCAGCTATGCCTTTTTTATCAGGTATCTCTTCCCCAGCATGGACCCTGCACCTTTCTGCGTCTTGCTATGAAACAGCCCTGAACTCACCTGTCTGTGTGAACTAGCATAAGCCAGCTTTGCTTTTAAGGATTTTTGTTTTGTAACTTCCCCACAGTCCTGGAGTCAAAAAGCAAACTTGTTTGGTAGAAGGGACTGTTCACATTTTACTTAGGAAACGCCCATGGTACTAAGGGTATGTGAAACGCCCATGGTACTAAGGGTATGGGAAAGCATTCAGTGGTGGAAAACCTGGTGGGAGCTGTACTAGCAGGAAACCTGGATTCCAGGACCAAACTCGGCTGCTTGCTTTGGACACCATTCTCTCCCCCGCACCCCGCCGCCCTTCTTCATTTGGAAAAACACTGTAATAATCCCCCCGCACATCTCTCAGGACTGCAAATCACAAAACTTAAGTACTAGGTCAAAATTCATAAAAAAGATAAGGCCCGTCCCACGTACAGTTCATTTACAAAGTCCTTTCATAATTCGTTATTTGATCCCATCAACTCTCTGCGGTAAACAGGGCAGATAGGTTACATGACTTGTCTGTATTGGACTCATAAAGCCGAGTCTTATGGCTCCGGAGATAGATCTAGTCACCGCGCTCCTCACGATAAGCTAGCGGAAAATGCCGTGTTTCTCAGTTCTTGATCTTCGGTCTCTATACACCCAGCTCAACACCCGGACCTACCCCAACCACCTCCCACCTGTCAAAATTAGCGCAAAACTTGATCCATCTTCCGGTCTAAGGCGGTCGTATGATTGGCCATTGCTCCTATCAATCAAAGTCGACCCGCACACACTCCCCACCACGATTGGCCTCGGCACCTTTGCCCCGCCTCCAGGCAGACACTCACTTTCACCGGCTTGGGCAAAATGGCGCCGCTGCGAGTAACGATGACTGACCTCGACGGTACCAGGCTCCGACCTGAGCCGCCCCGTTCGGCGCAGATAGCTCCATCTTTCTTCAAGCTCAGTCCGCTCCGGAGAGCCCCGGATCGGACGGGTGCCAATACCAGCCAGCGAGCCGCCCTGGACGCCATCCCCGGCACCCGGACCGCAGCGCCCGGCCCAGCAACGCCCTCTGAAAGAACGCTGCCCCAAGCCTCGCGAGGCTTTCAGAAGACGAGAGGCCTCGCGCAGTGCGCTAGTTCTTGTTGCCGCGGGGGGGAGGCATAAGTCGCGGGCCCGCCCGACGTCGTGACGTCACGGGGACGGCGCCGAGGCCCCAGTTTCCCGTCATTCCAGGCCGCGTAGGCGGGCGGTGAAGTAGGGTCGGACGGGGGAAGCCTTCAGATTTTTTCACTTTTCCCACCCAGGACAACCAGAGCTTGGCCGAGCAGCCCTCAGGTGATTGTTGAAATAAACTTGAGTAACCGGAATGAGTAATACAAAACTCAGTGTTTTAATTGTACAAAAAATACTGTAACAGTAAGATAAAAGCCTGGAGTGTCTGTATAAAATAGAAAACAAGGCGCAGTGGGCTGTGGATCTTCGGTATAGGGCTGGGAAGGCGGCCCCTCTTCTTTGGAAACAAGCAGGGCAGGAACCGGTCGTGGACCCTGGGCCCGCATTTCAGCCCCCTGGCCTCGCTGGGCCTTGATCAGGCTGCCCGAGGCCCCAGTAAGGAGGAGAGAGGCTAAGGGGAGATTGTGTGGCTCTGCACCTTCCATCTAGCCACTGCCACCATGCCCATAGGACCTCAGGCTAGTCTGGCCTCTGGCTCCAGAGAGCCAGCCACTTTGCCGCCCAGAACAATCGAAAAAGAAAACGCCTGGAGTAGCAATGAGAGGGTCTTGGCAGGTACATACAAACAGGACGGTGAAGTTCCCAGGTGGCTTCAGGAGCAGGAACACCTCTTTGGGAGCCCAGGCAGGAGAGGATTTATCACAAGGTACCAGCAGTTCTGTGCCCAAGCTCCTAGAACGCCCAGGAGTGAGAACCAACACTAATGGGCTTTCCCTGGGGAGCCACACGACTTGCCCACTTCTTCTTTAGCTTCCCACTTGGCAGCTCCAGGAGCTGGCAGCTGCGTACCAAAAGCAGTAAGGATTTCTGCTGACATAAAAGCTACCGGTCCTCCTAGGTTAATGTCCGGCACCATCTGTTGCCAGGATGGACAGGGAGACCGGGAGAGAGGGGGTGCCAACACTTGCTGAGCAGAATAAATCCCTCTGTATTGGTTGAAGGCCCTCTCGCAGCAAAGAGCCCTTCCCAGACTGTGGATGACGGTCACATACCCAATCTTCCCATCATTCAGGAAGAGCTGTGCCCCCAAAACCCCCATGATGTAATAAATCCACTTTCTCTGATACTGTCAGTCTGAAACCAACACTGCAGCCAACTTCTGGTTTTTAAATGTACCCAAGACTCCCCATGTTGGAAATTGTGGGTGAGTCTGGCATGTGGGTAAAAGGCAAGGTGGCCTGTAGGCATATAATATTCTCTACTTTCTCCATTTCATGAATACCCCTAAGAGAGGGGCAGTGCAGCATAGTGTCGGGAGACTCAGGCTCACTCTGTGACTGCTGAACAAGCCACCTTTGCTCTCTGGGCCTCAGGAAATAAAGGGGTTACAAGTAATGATTCCTCAGTCCTCTCTAAGCATGGGGGTGGATCTGGAACCTGGAGAACTCCCCTCAAAAAAACAACATTGGCCCTAGCCAGTTTGGCTCAGTGGTTAGAGTGCTGGTCCATGGACTGAAGGGTCCTGGGTTTGATTCCAGCCAAAGGCGTGTACCTTGGTTGCAGGCTTGATCTGTGCGGGAGGCAACCAATTGGGTCTCTCTCACATCGATGTTTCTCTCTCACTTCCATTTTCTCCGAAAAGCAATGGAAAAAATATCCTCGGGTGAGGATTAAAAAAATGCTAATAAAAATAAAAAGAAATTTTAAAAAGCAACTTTGGAAATGAGTAAACATCAAACTAAAAAAAGAATTGGCCCTGGTGTCCTGACCAGCAGGACAAGGGCAGAACCCAAAGCGCCCAGGTTCAGGGCCTATCCTGTTCCTCACATTTTGGCTGGCTCCCCTGGGCCCTCTGCAGCCACCCCCGCCTCAGCTCCAGGATCTCCTGGCCAAACCAATCGTGCAGGGTAGAGAAGCAAGAGGTCTCAGGGGACACGGGGCTCTGGCCCCTGCCTAGGAGGAGACTGGCAGGGCCCTGCAACTCACATTCCACCAAGCTCCGCCCTGCTGGCCTGCTGCCCACTACTTCCACTAAGCCCATAGAGCTGCAATCACTGGAGGAGTGGCCATTCTCTAGGCCCCGAGACAACTGGTCTGGAGCCTGGGTCTTACAGCGGCTTTTACTGTCCTTCCAGGATGAATGGCGATGCAAGGCCAGGCTCTGGCGGGCATCACGCAACTGATTCTCCAGCTCACGCACCACCAGGCGCATGTAGCCAAAGCTTGCCCGGGACAGCGCCTTCACCCAGGCCTCCTGGGATGCCGGTCCATCAGCTGCAAGCAGGTATGGTCGCACACCGGGAGCGTTGAAGCAGATGGTGAAGGCAAACTCCTCAGGCACGGGGGCCTCGGCCAATTCCACTGTGCAGCCCTCCAGCACCACCAGCCCCAGAGGGGCCCGGCCTTCTCGACTCTCAAAGGAGAACAGTAGGTTGCCCTTGAGGACAAACCAGCACCTTCGGCCAGTGCCACTGGGGGTGGGTGGAGTCCCTGGGCCCCCCCAAGTGCGCAGGAAGCCCATGTGGTCTGCTGGGGAGTTGCTCAGTGCATAGTGGGTCACACTTCTCTCATTCAACTTCATGGCTCCCTTAAGAACTGTGAGGCAAGAGAGGTGGCCGAGAGTCAGAGAGGGAGACAGCCCCTGTGTCCCTGTGGGGAAAAGATTGCTGGCTCTGGAGGAGACTTGGGCCCCAGCCCTTGCTGTGTGCCCTGAGGCTCATAGTGGCTTCATCTGTGAAATGAGCTAGTATCCCCTGCCTTTATCTCAAAGAGTTATTGTGAGGGTCATGAAAAACACTGCACATCAGAGGACTCAGAGAAAAGATAATGTGATTGTATCAGGAGGTATGGCAGGGTTTTGACACAAGCTTTTTAAAATTCAAAGGAACAGACCCAGCTGAGCTGAAATGGATACCAAGTCCATAGAAGCCATTGTGCTTCTACCATCCACTAATCTAGGGGCCCCTTAGTGTCAACCCTGAGGTCAAACCTCCAGGGCATGACCCTCCTGACTCATGGAAAACTGAGGCTGGGAGCAGTGATGGTGAACTGCACAGTGACATGGCCAGTAGAAGAGCTTGGGCTCCTCATTCCCTCACACCTTCTGGGGGCAAGTCTTAGCAATGACCCACTTACCAGCAGAGCTTCATAGGTGGAGGCAGGGGCCTCTCTTGTCTGGCCACAAAGCACAACCACTTGACCACGTGATTTCCAGTGTACCTGCAAAATAATTCTCAAACCCAGTCAACCTATCCTAAAGATGAAAACTCTCAACTTTGGGGCCCAGTGAAACCACCATCTCCTCCAAGAAGCCTTCCCAGGCCCCTGATAATCCCCTACCAACCCACCTACCCAGGCCAGGCTCCTGGGAGCAGTTCAAGAGACTGTGGTCCTATTGCCTTGACCTTCACTATTCAGACCTCAGCTCCTTGCCCTCTGAGGCTAGGTCAGAGTTAAGTGCCCTCATAGCTTTTCCCTTCTAGCACTTGTCACATAGTTTATCTGTGGGCTTTAATTTAAATGACCTAATCTGAGAGGCCTGCCTTGATCACATTTTCTAAGATGCTGCTGACCATCAACGTGGTCTGATCCAAGATGACCCAACCACAGCCCCTCATTTTCATTTCCTCCATCCCTCAAAGATCTCCCTTGTGTTTACAGTGCTGTCCCCAGCCCCAGAATGTCTAGACAGTGACTTGGCGTGGCTCCAGGGGTAATCCCAATGCCCTGAAGAAGTATTTGTTGGAAGTAACAGAATAAAACAGTGGGGAAAACAAAGGCCCTCTCTCCAGAAGCCTACATTCCAGCAGGGAAGAGACACTGTAAACAAACAGACAAAAATAAACAATAGTGTATGAATTAAAAATAATCTAATACTGAATAACCTAAGGACCGGTCATGATAAGGGCTGTGAAAGAAAGAAACAGGGTCTTGGGATGGGGTTGGTTCTAGGAGGGGGTGGGCGGAGGAGCCGGAGATCACAGAGGTGTGCTGGAGGAGTGGCCGCGCCTCGGCCCTGGGCCAGCACCGGGCGCAGGGAGGGGTCAGGCACCCACGGGTCTTCCCCCCTCCCCCGCCGCGCGCCTGCAGACGGGTGCGCCCCCTAAAACCCAGGGTTGCAAGGCCTGGACTGCGCGCTCGGCGGGAGGCCGCCGCACCGCATTTTCCGGGTTCTTTCGTCGGAGGAGCGGGGGGGCTGGGGCAGCGCACCGACCGGCCGGTGGTGGGGCCCTGGCACGGGGG